GTTAATTAGCACCTTCCCCAGTGATGTGCAAATTTGGGTCAGACAGCATGACTCAAAAACAACTGATGAAGTTGTGCACTTAGCTGACAATTACATTGAAGCAAGAAAATCTCAGAAGGAAGATGTAGAAAAAGCAGAAGCCAAGTCAAAGTTCAAAAAGTTTGGAAACAAAACCAACCCAAAGAAGAACAAAGATGATGAAGAAAAACCATCTGATACAAGTGAATCAAAAGAAGACTACTACAAGAAAGTCAAGGAGACGTCACGGTGCTTCAAATGTGGAGTCCGAGGCCACCATTCGGCTTCATGCCAGAATGGGAAGGAGATAATGAAATGTACAAAATGCAACAATTTGGGGCACGTGATCTCAAATTGTAGCATAGATATGTCCTTGAAATGTGAAAATTGTAATATGTTTGGTCATGTCACGAGCCGGTGCCGTAGACAGGGCAAACAATCTTTCCTTTGCAAGGCAAAATCTGACATATTTTCTCAATACAGCAACAGTGATGATGGGACAGTTCAAGGGATGCTGAATGATAAAGAAGTGACCTTATTGATTGATACAGGAAGCTGCAAGACCATCATTCACAAAGATTTGGTACAACCTGAGGACATTTTAACAAATGACAAGGTCATGATGACATGTGTTCATGGGGACCAGGAATCTTACCCGACTACAAAAGTAAAGTTCGCCATTGGTGATGATGTATATCAAGTGAAAGCAGTCGTTTCTGATTCAGTCCCTACACCAGTCTTACTTGGTCAAGACATATTGAAAAGATTGGACAGGGATAAAATGAATAAGTATATATACAAAAAGATCAACCCTGTGCCTGCATATGTTACAACGAGGCAACAATGGAAGCAACAGTTGAGAGATGATGCTGATGAGGAACATGAAGTTAAGAATTCAGGAGTCAAGTTAGTTGGACAGCACGAAGGAAATGATGTTCAAGAAGATGATGTTCTCATTAAAGAAGATGAGGATTTTCCAAAAGAAGATGATGTTCTCATTAAAGAAGATGAGGATTATCCAAAAGAAGATGATGTTCTCACTGAAGATGATGAGGACATTTCAAAAGAAGATGAAGTTCTCACTGAAGATGATGAGAACACCCCAAAAGAAGATGATGTTCTCACTGAAGATGATGGGAATATCCCTAGAGATGCAATTCTCTCTGAAGTAGATGAGAATGATCCAGTTGATGATGTTCTCATTAAAGATGATGAGAATATTTCTGAAGAAGATGACATCAACACAGTAGGCAAGTGTAAACTCAAAGATGATATTCGTGGGCATAAACCCATACCTGTAGTACACAATGTGACACAGAATGAATGTCAAACCAAAGATGATGTTACATTCCCTTTTTCATTTGATGAGACGGTGTTTCCACCCAAGACAGGTGACAAGCTGTACAAAACCAAAGCACAAAGAAGGGCAAACAAACGGAAACATGCAAATGTCGATCTAAACAAGGAATGTGAACTTGATGCAGTCAGTCCAGAGGACCTAAAAGAATTGCAAAGCAACGACCCTAGTCTAAGAGATGTGCGATTGAAGATACTTAACTCGACTGAAGTAGTGCGAGAAACACCATACTTTATTATGAAAGATGGACTTCTGATCAGAGTTACAAAGAATCCCCTTAATGAGTATGTTGAGCAAATTGTGCTTCCTAGAAGTTGTAGGAAAAAGATACTACAATTGGCACATGACATACCTCTATCAGGGCACCTAGGAATAAAGAAGACAACAGACAGGATATTGAGGAGATTTTTCTGGCCTGGTATCTACAAGGACATAAAGCAGTTTTGTAAATCTTGTGATATCTGCCAACATACAGCGAGAATGAGAGTTGTTGACAGAGCGCCTTTGATCCCTCTGCCTGTTGTAAAAGAACCATTTACAAAGATAGGTATGGACATAGTAGGACTTCTTCCTCGCTCTACAAAAGGAAACAGATTTATTCTTCGTATAGGAGACTACGGAACTCGCTATCCAGAGGCAGTCCCACTTAGAAGTACAGATGCAAAGAAAATCGCCAATGAATTGATGATACTGTTTTCAAGAGTCGGCATTGTAAAGGAAATTTTAAGTGATCAAGGAACCAACTTCATGTCTAAGTTGCTGAATGAGGTGTACAGATTACTAGGTGTCAAAGGAATCAAGAGTACCCCATATCATCAACAAACAGATGGCCAAGTTGAAAGGTTCAATGGTACTTTGATTAACATGCTGAAGAAGTTTGTTGTTGCAGAACCAAAACTATGGGATGTTTACCTTCCCTATGTTTTGTTCGCATATCGTGAAGTACCAAATGAATCTACAGGATTTTCTCCCTTTGAATTGCTATATGGACGTGATGTTCGAGGACCATTAGATGTTCTGAAAGAAACATGGACAGCTAAAGAAGACACCCCACAGACTGTTGTTGATTATGTTCTCAAGATGAGAGATAAGCTATAAGCAACTTACAGATTCTTGCTGAAGAAAATGCAAATCAAGCAAAAGTTACCCAGAAGAAGTACTATGATGAAAAGAGTAGAAATATTAGCTTCAAACCAGGAGATGATGTTTTACTCCTACTACCATCAAGTGAAAACAAACTTGAAGCACAGTGGCAAGGCCCTTATAAAGTAGTAAGAAGACATGGTAAAGTCAATTATGAGATTGAGCCCTTCAATAGAAAGACGAAGATATACCATGTCAACTTACTGAGAAAATACCTAGACAGAAGACTATTGTTTTATGGCGGCAACTGATGAGGAAGACAGTGATGTAGAGGAAATTATGAATCTTCCTACCTACAGTCTACACAGTACAGTTAGCCCTGATGGCAATGTGTTTATTGATTGTAATATCAATCCCGAGTTGACAACTAACCAGACAAAACAGATCAAGAAGCTATTGGGCAGTTTTAGTGATGTTCTCTCAAACAAGCCAGGAAGAACAAGCCTGATAAAACAATGTAGACACTGGAGATAATATACCACGTAAGCAGCCAAGCTATAGAATACCTCAAAGTCAAATGAAAATCTTCAAAGAGGAATAAGATTCAATGTTGAAGGAAGGATACATAGAGCCCTCTAGAAGTGAGACGATCTCTAACATAGTATTAATTCCGAAGAAAGATAATACTATGCGTTTTTGCATCGATTTTAGATATCTAAATAGCGTCTCCCTATTTGATCTTTACATGATGCCAAGGATTGATGCCATTTTAGATAGATTGCATTAGGCACAATGGATTACTGTGATCGATTTATGTAGGGGCTTTTGGCAAATACCTCTTACAGATGATTCTAAAGAGAAGTGTGCATTTAGAACACCATGGGGAATCTACCAATTTGTCGTAATGCCGTTTGGTTTACATGGAGCTCCTGCCACTTTCCAAAGAATGGTTGATGAGATGATCAGAGGATTAGAAGACCATATAGCAGCTTACATCGACGACATAATCATATATAGTGAGACTTATGAAGATCACACGTAGAAGAACTGCTGAACAGACTACGACTGAATAATCTTACTGCAAAGCCTTCAAAGTGCCAGTTTGCATTTCAAGAAGTAGTATATTGTGGCCATATGGTAGGAAAAGGTGTTGTTTCACTGACGCCAAGTGCCATAGATGCAATCAAGAATTTTAACAAGCCAGAAACAAAAGAGTTACTGAAGACCTATTTAGGTATGACAGGCTACTATCGCCGTTTTATAAAGGATTATGAAACCAAGGCATACAACTTAACTGAACTGACCAGAAATCAAGCACCAAAGAAGATACTTTGGGAAGATAAGTCAGATGAAGCTTTCTACAAACTCAAAGAATACCTTTGCAAATACCCAATACTTGGAAGCCCAGATTTTGACCTACAGTTTCTAGTCATCACTGATGCAAGTGCCTATGGTATTAGTGGCATACTGAGTCAGAACTTCGAGGATGGAGAGCATCCCATCATGTATTTGAGTAGGAAAATGTTACCAAGAGAAAGAAATTACTCTGTAATTGAGAAAGAATGCTTGGCGATGAAATGGTCTATAGAGAAGTTGAGTTACTACTTGCTAGGAAGAGTCTTCAAAGTCATTACTGACCACAATCCTTTGGTATGGTTGCATAACATGAAGAATACAAACCCAAGATTGATGCGTTGGGCACTCGCTCTACAGCAGTACAATTTTACAGTGGTGCATAGACCTGGATCAGCTAATAAAAACGCTGATGCATTGTCAAGACTATAAGATGAGAAACTGTTAGAAACTTGTATATAGATAAACATTTTAACAAAATTTGTTAGGGAAAAGCCATCCCTAATCGGACTTTATATAAGAAATAGAGATACGAAGATGTGACTGTTTTACTGAGATGGAAAAATTTAAAGAGCAAAAACAGTCAAGAAAAGGGGGAAGATGTGATATAGTAAGATTAAAAGTGAATTGAAATATAGATGGCATGCTAACAATAACATTAAAAGTAGATTGAAGATAGATGGCATGCCAGTTTTTACCCAGAAAAGTCAGTTGACAAGAAGTGGCCATATATGAGACATGTAATAATTAGTAGCAGAGAGAGGAAATAAAGAAATCGAAAGACCTAAAGGACAATAGCGACAATAACAGATATAGTAGTAAGTAACATATACACACTTCAGTATGAATGAAAAGTCCCTTGGTGTTCTGGTCCTGGATTATGATATTGATTCTTGTTTGGGGGAAAGGTGATGTTAGACACTAGTTCTTTTCACGTGAGATCATGGTTTACGGATAAATAGGGTATATTTTTCCAATGACAGGTTAACACTTAGAGTTTGCTTTTTTGCTGGGTTTATATAAGGTTTTTAGTATTTTCCCTTATCCGCATGTGCTTCGTGGTAAATGTATTATTGTAATTAAAATGAACTTGATAGTAAAAGCAAGTCAGAGTCAGTGTATGGCATCGACACGAAAATAAAACGTATTACTGACAGAAATATTCAACATGACATTCATAATTTTTCAGATGCCGAGCCAGAGACAAACGTCTATAATATTCCTTATACTGGTCCTTTTACTGATAATGATGTACTGCATCTTATCCAGATGCATTATTTCTTTGAATCAGCACATTAAAGAAGATCATATAAATCCAACAAGAATACCAGCAGACTTTTACGAAATTGGATTTTCTAATCCGAGCGATGAACATTTAGTAAGTATGCTTAAGACATGGGTCATTATTTTCTTAGTAATGAATTTGATCATAGGCGGACTATTGAATCATTGTTCAGGAGCAAAATTAATTATTGTTAACTTAGCCAAGTATTTAACCAATGTTTACTTAACATAGTTATATATATATTATTTATGTCTCAGCAAAAGTCATTAGGCTTAATCATTGTTTACCAGGTGAAATATTTATAAACTGATTAATCTGTTTAATCAGAATGTTCGGCATATCATTAAATCATTCGTTTACAAGGTAATGTTTAATTATTGTTTACTTAGTAATATCACTAATCACTGTTAATATAGATGATAATCTTGTTTACTTTAGTTAGGAATCAGATTACAGATTTATGTTTTCTCAAGACATTCTTTCAACAAATGTTGTCATTTAGGTTTACTGATTCCAGGTTGAACATGTTAAGTTGAACTGTTAATATAGATGATAATCTTGTTTACTTTAGTTAGGAATCAGATTAACAGATTTATGTTTTCTCAAGACATTCTTTCAACAAATGTTGTCATTTAGGTTTACTGATTCCAGGTTGAACATGTTAAGTTGAACTGTTAATATAGATGATAATCTTGTTTACTTTAGTTGGAAATCAGATTAACAGATTTATGTTTTTTAAGACATTCTTTCAACAAATGTTGTCATTTAGGTTTACTGATTCCAGGTTGAACATGTTAAGTTGAACTGGATCCATCCTCCAAGCGCAGAGATTCCTAAAATGAAGGAACCGATTAACCACCATTTTTCACAACATGGGCAGAGTGAATACATCGACAATCTTCTCAAGGGAAAAACAAATGGATTTTTCATAGAATGCGGGGCCTTTAATGGGAAAGAATTATCGAATTCCTTATTTTTTGAACGATATAGAAATTGGACTGGCTTACTGGTAGAGCCCAATAAAAGGGTATTTCAAGAACTTTTGAATCTTAAACGAAAGTCATTTGCTGCTAATGTTTTACTATGCCCAGATAACACAAGCAGGAAAAGTACATTTGTTGATGCCGATTATCTTTCTGGCATGAAAGAAAACGTTCAACTTCGTGCTGACGCCATTGCAAAAAGTAAAACATACCTTGTCCAATGTTTTACACTTTATACTCTCCTTTTAGCGGTAGGGGTGACGAGGGTGGACTATTTCAGTTTAGACGTAGAAGGAGCCGAGATATCCATTTTAAAAACGATTCCCTTTGATAAAATCTACATTAAGACTCTGTCAGTTGAGTACTTGTTTAACGATGGCCAATCAATAGACAAAGAGAAAACACAAAAAAATTTAAAAGTGATTCGTGATTTTTTCGAGCAACTTGGCTTTTACAGAGAGGTTAATGTCGGTCTCCTTGATGTGTTTTTCGAACGAATTGATTAATTGTTCGTAAGCTGTAGAATAAATAGCTAGACTGCTTGATGAATGAGAGCTGATCTATTTCGTAAATCTTGCATATCCTCAATCGTTTTTTCCTTCTGATAAAACAAACCAGATGTTAATCGCGTTTTGTACTACCTGATGATGTAGAACATCACTATCACCGAAATTATATTCAAATAATACATTGTTGTACAAAACTAAGAAAATAATACAAAATGCCAAAATACCAGACCCCTTGTGATTAGGTTCAATCAGTTTTCTTGCATCAAAGATATGTAAAGCATACATGAAAGATATTTGAATGCCGAATTCAAAACTGAAATAAGAATAAAGAATGCTTTTCTTGTTCTCTTTGGTCCCAAAAAAGCTTCAGAAGGTGTATAAAACAATCAAAAAATAAGGGTTAAATGTTGTTGCATAAAAATTTGAGAATGATGTGGCTGTGCCCACGATTATTATTGCCCCTCAAAATTCAACCATTTTCATATATTTGGACTACCATCATGTACATACCCCTTCATAAGTTTGGCAACCGTTCATTTGACCAAAACCTGTCCATATTTGGTTAATGGCAAAAATATAATTTTTCTATAATAATCTTATAATTTTGTAATCACTAAGCATTTGAATAGTGATCGAGTCAAAAGGGGACATTTAGTTACAAAGCAATCTAGGCAAGGTGTGTCCGATTCCAGCCAATCCGATTACAGTATTTCAAAAACCTGTAGTGCATGAAATAACCAATCACTGCATCCACCTTATGTCGGAGAATGTAAGTCATATGAATCAAAACTCCCGTCTTTGCAGTAATACTTTAATGTAGCTTCATTTGTTATAAATTCTACATTTTATTTAATCGTCGAAGACGACTTAGTATCTGTACTACTAATCCTTGTATCACGAGTGATTTTTTTACTAAAGGTAGAAGTTAAAAAATATTGGATATATCCGGATGTTTAGCAACTATTTTCAATTGTGTAGCCTCGGTATCAACTTCTAACATTTATATCAACTTTGAATATTTTTTTCATCGTTCAAATATTTTAGCAATAACGTACAATTATGAATATGTAAAATATCAAATGGGATATAAAGAAATAAAATGTAAATAAATGGGATTTTTCTATTTTTGTGTATTTATTCACAATCTTTACTTTTTATCGATGGTTCTCAATGAAACTGGACATCAAGATTAAAAGCTATCTTAGGGAGGCCCGAATGCCTTTTGGACAAATTGAAGGCCAGCCAAACGTCAAATCTCGAATACATAACTCCTATCAACTTGTAGATGATGATAGAAAAAAGATTTGTTCAATTTGAAGCAAGTCGAAATTTGACCCCGAAAATGTCGAAATTTGACCTTTTTTCACGTTTTTGAGCTCTGATATCTCAAAACTGGTGCAGAATCTTCATAGGTAGTAAATTGCTAATATGTGTAGAATCTTCAGAGAAATGTATATGCTGACTTTTAATTCAAAATATCAATCTGTAGTCTCGAACTTTGAGAACTAAGATAGTAAAGATTATGACATAATTTGATGTCCTTGACCTTAAAATGTTTACTCTTTTAGAGTTAAGTACGTTAGTTCTTTTGTTATTAAGCTGACCTTAATTTGATTCACATCAAGGTGTGTCCGATTCAAGCCGATCCGAATACAATGTTTCAAATAACTGAAATGCATAAAATAATCAATCACTGCAAGTTCATTCCGTGTGTTGTAACGTGTAATCGTGACAAGTTGACTCAACGTATTGAAATTGATGCATTTCCAACTTACCCTTGCAAATAATTTCATTGAAATATATGTTCTTTTAGTGATTTCGTATCAATTAGGTGACATGGTAGTTAATATTTTACAATGTGAAGAAAGAAATTTAAGAAAGAATTAAAGCCCAAGACTCAATGCATTGTGTAATGACTATTCCTTCCAGGCGTTACTTCCTAAAATTAGCACTCGATATTCTGCATCTCGTGCAAATTTTGGAAAGAAACACTTTCAAGAAATTGTTATTCCATATTGCACTGATTCCAGGGTCTAAATCCTTAAATACAAAAATTTCAAAAGCGAACTCCTTGGACCTTTTGTAGGTAGCTGAAGTTCCACCAGAGGTCAAATCTCAAATTTAAGGTCAAATTTGAACTCCTGAGAATTTGTAGATGATTTTTCCCGAAAAAATGACCAAAGTAAGCAAATCTTTATTAGAAATCTGTGCTCTCCCCCTGAACTTACTGAGGCGCTGCGCCTCCAAACAATTGCAATCAAAGAAATGCGCCTCGGGGTTATTCTTTGCGCCCGTGACAAACCCTACACGTTGTTTCTCCGCCTCAAAAGATTTAAAATAACAAAATCTTACCGAAAAGTCGAAGTTTTGTTTGTTTTTGTATTTTCACTTATGCAGTGTTTTATCGAACGCATATTCCTTTACTTCAATAACAGATTTACATGGAAGAAAAACTAACATTCGCTATTTTATTTGACCGATCGTAAATTCACGTCGTTCGTATGTGCAGAACTCTATCGAACGCACATTTATTTGGTTCAATGACAGATTACATGGAAGAAAATGAATTGTTCGCTATTCCAAACGACCGAACGCAAATTTGTGCCGTTCGTATTTTTCTCCCAGACTTAAAATAACTTTCCCCCCGCTTTCCCCTTATTTCGATATATTTACTTGATTTTATCAGAAGAATGTCAGAAGCACACCGCTGGCAAGTTGTCTGGCATAACAAAATCGAGTGTAAGTACTTTTTAAAGGGACCCAACACCATGGTCGCATGATCAGTCGTGTGGAGGTAAGCTCCCAGTTGAAATAAAAGCACTGTCCTCCTTTGGTTTCTGTGAAAAGTAGCTAATACCCTCATGTATTGGTCAGTTTGTGTGTCACACGACTAATCCCTAACATATGCTTCATTCAACATATTTTATGCTATTGAGCTGCACATATAAACAGTACTTTGCAACTAAGGTCATACAGTATACTTACCCCTTGCAAATTGTAATTTATTGAATTCACAGTAAACCCATCAATTTTTAAGAAAACAAAGAATATTGTTCTCATGGATCTATTATTTATGTTAGACTAACTATGAAAATATAAATATGAAATGATATGTTAGCTTGAAGTCATATATAAGATGAAAATATATGTTCATGCATTTGCATTTTTCCAAAGGGAATATTCCCATGTAAGTAAATACAGGTGCAATATATAATTTTTATGTATATCTATGTCATCTGTCTATACATGCGCGTATAGCCTAGTGTTACATGTGAACAAGATGGTTCTGGAAAGAAATGAGCGTGGCAGATTTGCTAAAAAGCCACATACACCACAAAAGCAAGACCAATTTGAAAGTAAGTTCATTATTCTCAAGGGTACACTTCAAGTGAAAGCTACATTGCTACAGGGTGGCCTATCATTCTGAGACAAATGTATTATCCAACGATTGTGATTTTCGAAGCTAAAATGTGATATATTGAGCAGATGGAAATACATTCCCATGAGATATGTATATATAGTCAAAAGTGATAACTATTTATTGAGTGTAATGAAATGTATCCTTCGCTAACTGCTTTTCTTTGAGATAATTATCATGAAATATTTTTAAATTAATTTTTATGTGTGTCATTGATCCTAATCCATCCTGTAGTCTGGTGTTTGTAGAGCATTGCGACTCGTACAACTTATTCTCACAAATATCAAACCTCATTTATTAATTAATTTTTTGTGTGAATATGAAGAGTCCAAGCATTGCTTTTTTATGTTTATTGTATAGCTATCTTTAGCCTTGATATCCATGATTTTTTAAAACAAAATCTCACCGTTAGATTTCGAGCTAATCATGTTTACTCATTTGTCTAATTGGAAAACAATGCAAATCTCATTTTTTCAAAAGAATCTGGTCGCCCGATTAACTAAAAATGGCCCTGTTGAATTTCAACAAAAATATGCTTTAAGCGGCAAATTTAAATTTTAAGTTTATTACCAAAAATGTAAGCATAGATTACTTTTTTCATCAATATTTGATAAACAGGCATAATCAGTACGTATACAGGGGCGGATCTGGGAACCAACAAGGGGGGGGGGGGCAAACTTTAAAAAAATTTGGGCCCCTAAAACCAAAAAGTGGGCTCAAGTTTTGAAAATTTAAGGCCCGTTTGCTTCAAAATTTGGCCTAAAATAAAAAACAAGGCCTTAAAAGGCCCAGTAATGCTAAAAAAGGCCCACTTTTTGGGCCCAACTTTTTTTCTGGGCTCACCCAAGGGGGTGCAAAATCGCAAAATTTAGGCCACTTAGGCTTTGTGTTATAAAGATGAATTTTTACTTTACTTCTGTAGAGTCAGGGTTGGAATGTTTGAGCTTGACTTGGCAAGTTTCTCGAATTCTTCTCAAGTGGGCGAATTTAATTATTTTGCACTAGGATCGATGAATATCTGGCCCGATAGAAATGATGTAAATTTTACGATGCCAGGGTCTTTCAAAGAGAAATATCCGAATACGAGGGTTCTTGTAGGGGAGAGCGGGATAAGACGGAACGCGGGTGAAACGGAACGACGGATTTTTATTGAATAATTGTTTAAAAATTGTTATTGTGTTCAACCACACTTTTCTTGTCGGCTGCAACTAATGCTTTAATTAAAAGCCATCTTTCCGTCTTACCACGCGTTCCATCTTACCCCGCTCTCCCCTAGATGAATTTGAATATGTATGCAATATTTCAAAACTCAATGTTAAGTAGCAACTCTGAAATCACTTACCTCGATTTGCTGTTATATTTTTGCAATGACCCCATTCCCTGTAATGTACACGAGCACTTATGATTACGATACATTACATGTACATGCCTGCATCCCCATAATTCGACTAGCTACAGTGTTACAGTTAGATATATTTGCAAATCATTATCACATATTTATTTATTTTGTTTAGACTTAGACATGCGCTTCGGGGAAGAAGCTAAGTATTCCAATCGTCTCCAAAAATGTTTGGTATTGAATAACTAGATATTTGTGTATAGTTAACAATATACTACACATTTCACAGCATCACGTACAGGTAAGAGGGGGTATCAATGCTTTTGCAGGGTAAACTTTATAATAATTCTGTCTAAATTTTTAGGATCACCGACCACACTTGGTGTAATGTATTGTCCAGCCTGCATCTAGTTACTCCATGTATTGTGTCGTATAACGTTCCCATCGAACCCTGACGTTTACTGTTCATCTGGAATGAACAATAAGTAAATCTATATCACTAGACAAACAGGTTGGAATTAACACATAATAATCAGCGATTAATTTTTTAGAATAATCATTAATAACCAGACACAGTCTGATCCTGACCTAATTATAACTTTTAAAGGCTAGATATAATGGCAACAGGCATGGCCTTGCGATAATCACTTTTTTCTTTACTGAATAACCGACCAACTGATTATTGTGACTGATTAAACTTCAAAGGGCTAATTACAAATGACACTGCTGGAATACAATCTCTTGTCTAAATAAAATGATCAACCTGTATAAAAGAAGTATAAAGGAATTTAAAATGTATGTAATATATTATACAATTAGACAGACTGGCTATTCTAATCCGTTGTGAAAAGCCTTTTTTCCACAACAGGATGTTTCTACGGAAGTTAATTTGTTTATCTTAGTGTTTAGAGGCATTGTCCCTTGACGCTTTTAT